AGAAAGCCTTTTTCTAACTGACTGGCTTAAATTGAATATATTTTTCTTTTTCTCAGGGCATGCCCATCTTGAAAGGTACATTCTTGAGTCCTGTTTTTTTGTACTGACAGTTTCACAGGACATAAGACTTTGCCTTGACTTCATGATCAAGCAGTTAAGAGTCCTGCACAGATAATGGTGCACTGTCCTTTGAGGAAGTTGGGGAGACAGAGACAGCTGAGAATCAACAACTGGTTTGATTTTGCATTCTCATTACTTATATCTAGTCCATTGATTTAATTGTGATTTAATTTAACTGAGTCCAAATTGTCAGATGTGTTTAATAACAATTCATTTCAATTCATATTTATTTTCTCATGTAGTATTACTCACATTATGACAAACTACATTAATTTAAATGTTGTTCTGTTGGTTCATACTATGTTGGACATCTGTTTTCCATTGAAATACTAAATGATTTACTGATGTTGTTTTTCTGGTCTTGTTCTTTTGGTATGTAAGGTTAAATAGAGTCTTGGACAAAACAGTAGTTAAAAGAATCATAACTATTTATAGAGGTTGGAACCACTAGAGTTCTGGTCACATTGTCATGTAAGAACTAAAATCAAGTCTAATGCTTAAAGATCCTGGTCTTACAGAGTATGAAGACCTGAACCAGCAGATCTGAAGTGTATTCATGCAATAAACCTTTAAGATAATCTGAAGATTCCACTTAAGATTTCACCAAGAATGGGAGATACTATACTGTATATGCTGATATAGAGAAATTTCAGTCAGCACCTGAGCCACAGGAAACTAGTGATAGGTTTAGAGGGACAATACATAAGAATTACCAGAAGAGACTGAGGTCTTTTATATTAAATATAATGTGCGACATCCAGCAAGCATGCTAAATTGTTTCCAGTATCTACTACCAGATTTACCAGTTTTTCAATACAGACGTACTGTAGCAAGTGGGAATAACCTCATTCAGCAGCAACTGTTCCCATTAGAAAAAAATATTTTCTGGTCAAATAAAAAAAAATATTGAGAATCAGAGCTTTGTTATTTAAGGATTGCATAGGAAAGAGCTAATCTATTGGAGATCCTTACCAAAGACAATTTAGAACTAGAGACAGCACATATTGCAGTTTTGGGAAGATTGTGCAGACAGTCATAATCAATACCCCGGCTCTCAGGTGAATACTGATGTTTGGACTAGATAGCACTAATATTGCAGTTAATGGTATTATTATAGACCATGGATTCAACCCTAGTCCTGGGGAGCTCCCGCCCAACAAGCTTAACACTGTACAGTAGGTCTGCATTATATCCTCAGTCTCTGAAGATATGAAACACATCCATTCCAATTGATTAAACAGGTGTCAAAATTATGGAATTTAGAGATTATTTAGAATTTTTTCAAAAAAGTATTTTTAGACCTCAAATTAAACACTTTACTTGATTGATTAATCAATAGCTTACAGGTTTGGACAATCTTTAAAATCAGGTGACCTATAAAATTAACAGGATTGTGGCTTTCCGGGACCTGGAGTCCTGGGATAGAGGTCCCTGTT